TTCCAAAGACGGACAGATGTTAACTCTGTGACAAACTGGAATGTTCCTTTGGTCTGGGAGGGGACTTTTGATCCTTTGGTTATAGATGACATCTATAAGAAAATGGACCCAAGGGTAGCTGTTGTGGTTTTTGCTGTTGGCAAGTATGTAAACAGAAAATCCTTTTAAGATATCAATGAACAGAGGTTTCACCAGCTTGTTGATATTAGTCTCATTTATGCCTTTTATTTACTATATTTTTGGTCTTGTCTTACTAATTGAAGGCCTTTAATGTTTATTTTCACCAATCAGATACACTCGATTTTTGAAGAAATTCATTGAGACTGGAGAAAAGTACTTTCTTGTTGGCTTCAAAGTCACTTACTACATCCATACAGACAGAGCAAATGAAGTCCCTAAGGTGAGTGTTTTATAATTATTTTTGCCTGTATATTTATTCTTTGTCAAGCTTTACTGCCATAATAATAAAACATTTTTTAAAAACTTCATGAACATCTGATTTTGTTAGCTGCATCTTGATGCAGCAGCAGCGCATCTTGATGCTGCTCGAGACGCACTGCATGATGGGCCTTGATGCCATCAACCATAAGCCCCATTTACACTACCCTTTTGAAACCAAGCCAACACCGGTTCGAGCTCAGTAACCGAGATAACTGTTGTGTGTAAATGCATGCCAGACCCCGTGTCAGACACAACAGAACCGCACTAAACTGGTACTAGTTCAACAGTAGGGCTCAGCACGGTTCAGTTCAGGCAAACATGGATGTCTCCGGTAAGCACATTCAAATGAAAAATACTGTAAATTAAAAACACTTATCGGCCTCGGCAGTATAATTTCCTGTTTAAAGTACTTTCAGAAGTTGGACTTCTGAATGTGACCGGACTTTTCCTTCAAGATCCTGAACCCCTGGTGCTTAGCTCAACCGGACTTGTTGTACCAGTTCACTATAAAGGCTTGGGTTTGAATAGATATTGTTAAATGAGGAAGTAATGTCCCCTAAAAAAGGCTGTTGCGCCTCAGGGCTTCCTCACGGTTCTTTTCCTGGGAGCAAGTTATTTACTACTCTTAACTCAAACTGGGTAAAACCATATAAAAAGGACTATAAAAACAGGAGTAAAAAAGTAACAAGAGTTTATTCCAGATCAGGTCATTACAGGACAGTGAAAAATGCTTGGAGCTTGTACAGCTGTGGGCTCAAAAAATCACGTCCGCGTGTGTCCGGCAAAGATTGAGCCCCGAACAAGGTCATCTCCTGCTTCTTATAGCTCATGAGTCTATGTGTTGCATCATGTGGATGCTTAGCTGTCCGTATCAGAAACTGACACGCCATCAATTAGGGATCACAAGTAATCACAATCAAAAACTTCACAGACCAAATGTTGTCACTCAAGACCACAGTTTCAGCATTTAACTACAAT